TTTATTGTCAAGTAACAAAGAACTAAACATATATGTGTGACTGCAAATATAAATAATGTTCTCTCGATTAACTAAATAAAAGTAGGGCTGCATTTAAGAAAAAGAATATTTATGCATGTTCAAATTCAGTTCAACAGCTAAGTTCAATTCAGAAATAAAAAATAACAGGAAGAAAAGTTCCCCTTTTCTGCCTCACGTTTGGACTTGACAGTCTCAGCATTATAAATAATAAATCTGAACACATTTTAACAATTGAACAGTTGAATAGAATATATATATATATTTATATCCACTGTTTTGGAAGAATTAAGATCGGTCCGCCAGTTAGTGACCTCTGATCTAGAGAGAAATGGGGTACCCGAGTGAAGGGATTTGGGATTTTCTCCAGTACCGGTAATAATTTGTCGGTTATATTAATTAAAGAAAGGAAAGTTGGCTCATTTAATCCAATCAATCCCTTTATTTAAATAAAATATTTTTTATGGTAATGATACAAAAATAGTAAATCACGACAGGCATGATGTGTAAAAAAGCAGTACTTCTGTTGAATATGCAGCTGAAAGGAACAGCTAGGCACAGTGGGGGATCACGGATGATGGAGAGGTTGACGCTGGACAGAGATTTTAATGACACACTGCTTTAAAGAATAGCACTAAACTGGTGTGAATCCTACTTGAATGATGCAGCTAATCTCACCAGGATCAGAATGGACTAAAATGGCAAGTGGTGTTCCCCGAGGTTCAATTCTGGGGGCTCTCCTTCTCAACACCACATGCTTCCACTAGCTCACATTATGGAAAGAAACAAGGTGTGTTATCATTGAGCCATTGAAACTCAGCGCTCAGCTATAATCGCTTGTCTTGAAAACTGTAAGTCAGAAATCTAGTTGTAGTTATGGAGTCAGACCTTAATTTGAACAGCCATTTAAAGACAATTACACAACCAGCCTATATGCCCCTAAATAATATATAAAGGATGAGAGGATTTATGACTCAACATCCATCCATCCGTCTTCAACCACTTATCCAGCGTCGGGTCGCGGGGGCAACAGTTCCAGCAGGGGACCCCAAACTTCCCTTTCTTGGGCCACATCTACCAGCTCTGACTGGGGGATCCCGAAGCGTTCCCAGGCCAGTGCAGAGGTGTAATCTCTCCACCTAGTCCTGGGTCGCCTGAGTTTCTTCAAATTAAGACTCAAAACCTTTCTGTTTGTTCCTACCTTTAAACCCTAAAGTCTCCTAAACGAACCAGAACCGAACTCTCGGGTTCTCATCATGAACCAACACATGAATGCTTCACATGGTTCCAAGCGTTAGACTCTTGGCTACAATATGCACTAATCTGTTTTAAAGTACTCCCTAGGCCCTGTCGACATGAAGGAACCATAATGTTAGTCCAGATATGATGTCTCGTATACTCGTATATGATGTCTCTGGCCTGCTCTATAATATACGACGCAATATATAACGTATAGTTAGCCTGCTCTATAATCTATGACACAGTATAAAGCATAGTTAGCCCGCTTATTAATCCATGAGGCTTTAGAACCTATGAAGCAGCCAAACTTATATACTTGACTCTATGTTGAACACACACACTGTGTGTAGTGTGAGATCTACTGATGAACCAGTACTTTCTGGTCCTCCCCTACTGCTCTGTTATTTGTTTGTTTGCCGTGGTTGGTTCCGCTGGGCCGCCTCGCCTCCGGCGTGTCACGACCAAACGTCTAAGCCAGAGCTAACGGGAGGCCTCCCGGGGTCTGGTACTGCACATATGTGAATGTGTGTGTCTGTGAGAAGGAGAGTTTTTATTGTGTCATTCAACAGTGTGTATCAGTGTAAACAAGGGGGAGGGAGTGTGTGTGTGTGTGTGTGTGTGTGTGTAGGCACAAGTTTTGTCAGTATTTAATTTTGTTTGCAAGCGAGGGAGATTGCGCGTGTGTGTGTGTGTGTGTGTGTGTGTGTGTGTGTGTGTGTGTGTGTGTGTGTGTGTGTGTGTGCTTATCACTGCTCCCTGGGGTCTGAATGAAGGGCTCAGTGCATTAAAAGTACTGTGGCAGGTAAATAAATACACACTGAACACACACACACACTAGGCCCTGTCTACGAACTAGCCGGGTGAAACCAAAGTAGTGTGGGCTAGGAGGAGAGAGGATGTGTGTGTGTGTGTGAATGTAGTTTTAAGCAGACAGCCAGTAGCGATGTGAGCTCTGATAGGACACTGTACGGTTTAATTGAAGGTAATTAGAGTCTGGCCTTTCATTTATTAATATCAACTTGTCTGTAGCTCCACATTCAACACATGTGTGTGTTCATGGGTCTTCTTTTAGTGTCATCATAGCTCCTTTTTAGTCGTTATTAAGGTTTTAGACCAGGAGTGTCAAACTTTTTGGTTTAGGGGACCATACTGTCCACAGGCCGGACCGACAGTGGGGGGGTGCTCGTGGACGCGGATGGTAGGGTTGACAGGGGGGCTGTCTGACGCATGCGCCCATGCACAGAGTGCAACCCTGAGTGGACTTTTTAGGAATAGCAGCTACTCTTTTACACTTAGCTAAGTCATCCGGCGGGCCGCACTGCCCCCCCCCCCCCCCCCGGTGCAGCACTTATCTTATATTTTGGTTCTTCTATATCTATAGAACCAATCACCACTTTTACGTCACACTTTATTTATTGCTGTCATTTTGTTGCAATATGTTAAATATATTTTTTAAAAGGTGACTCGCCCTGCACAGAGCAGTGGGCGGAGCTTCACTTCCCTGCAGACATCATTCAGAGGTGGACCTTTACATCTGCCACTGTTCCTCAGACTGAGGGTGATTACCATTCCAATCACCTGCTGGTGGTTTTTTATTGGTTCTACTTTGATCATTTCCTCTTTTATGTAGTTATTCTCACATATGTCAATTGTTTCAGTTACTGTACTTCCCTTCCTGCTCGGGATTGTGTGGTTCTCTGTTTGCATCTGTCCCTACTCATCCGTGTGTTCCCTTCTTTGTACCAGTAAGTCTTGGCTGACTAAGGTCAGCGTTCCAGCATTCTAGTTTCACAGCTTCGGTCTCCTTAGACCGTATCTACGCCCCTCTAGTTGTAAGTGTCCTGTCTCAGCTGGGTTCTACGTCTGTTGACTCCGGTATGACTCGTGCTATGCTGATAAAAATGTGCTTCAGGCCTTATCTTCATGGCTAAAAAGAGCTTCATTATTAAGGCCCTGGTGCTGCTTAGAAAACAAGTTCATTTTGATCCTGGAACAGCCGGAGGAGGATTTGAAATGTTCCTTTATTGGAAATGACATCACAGCACATCACAAACGGTAAGGTCCCGCGGCACTGTGCGTGTTGGCGAGAGCCTCGCCCCCAGTAACAACGATATCCTGTCAGCCTGCAGCATCACAACAGGATGAATCCTTGTTACTGACGGCGCCCGCCTCTGTCCTCCACTTCCCCCGTCTGTCCATCTTCTGTCTGTCTTCAGGCTGACTGCCGAGCGACAGCAGCTCCAGCCAGCTTCACAGCCGGAGATATCCCCGACATGTACACACACACGCAAAGGGACATGAGGAGGAGCCTACCGGTTACACTGAAATAGAGAAAAGGGAAATGAAAAAGAGAAAAAGAGTACTGAATGTAACATATTTATATATGTACACATATCACACTAGTTTCTCATGTTGCTGATAGAGACTCTGTCCTGGCCCTAGGTTGAAGGTCAGGTCCAAAGGTTTCTCCAGATAAATAGGGTACAGCACAAAGATCAAAAGAACAAATGTGTTGACTGTGTAGAAATAAATCACAGACTTTTATTAGCGCCAAAAATGGGCTGTACATAAATCTGCTGGATGGTCATTCAGGAACATTTAGGTATTTTCATGCATTAAAATAGTGATATTAGAAAAAGAACATTAATGAGGAAACCGTGAACAACATAATCCTTAACCAGTCGTTTACACAATAAATGAACACGTGGTTGTTGGCAGCGTTGTCATATCGATCAGACGTTAGAGTGATGTCCATCTGTTCAGCTCACTTTTGGAAAGAAAACGTATGCATGCTGTTTTAATGAGCCCAAAGTCTCTTTCTCTTAGTATGTTTAAAAAACATACATATGTGGAAATGTCTTTCCCTTATCCACATGACAGCTCTAAAGCCACTTTCAGTTTACAGCATTTGAGTTTATTGATCTGATTTGTTGTCAGTGAAGCTGCGATGAAGCCACAGTAGGAGGTGAAGAAGGTGGAGGAGACCAAAACAGCACTCTAAGGGGACTTTTCAATTTTTTCATTGGCCCAAAAGCCCTGCGTGTTTGCTCCGTTTAACTACAGATGTATTATTTGTATTTGATAACAGTTTCCTTGATCAGTGATCAATAAATTAGATAATCCAAAGACAAACATTAGTATTCCCTGTTCACTGGGCCTCATTAACACAGTGACACAGTTTTAGTAGCTGCTGCACTCTTTTCATTTACACTCAATCAACTGTATTGATCTGAAGACACACACACACACACACACACACACACACACACACACAGGGATAGAAATAAAGGAAAGGAGCCGAAAGAGAGCCACAGAAACTCAATCCATCCGTCACCTTTGAGAGCTAGTGACCAGTGTGTGTGTGTCAACGGAAGAGAAACTTATATCAGCAATTAAGGTAAATAATTAACGAGCTTAACAATGTATTATTAATGAGAACGACGGACTAATTGCCCTCCGCTTAAAGCCGTCAGACAACACCTGAAGATGGAGAGATAGAGAGATAGAGAGGGAGCAAGGACAGAGGTAAAGACAGGAGAGGGAATAAGAGATAACGAGAGATGACAGTGGGATTAAAGAACATTTTAAGACCAGTGGATGACGGATGGAAAAAGGAGGGATAAATATGTGAAGAGAAGATAGGAAGGAAGATGGGAAGTGAGGGACAGACAAAGTCTTCTACAAATGAGAGTGAGGCGAGTTGAAGTTAGGGGCTCAGGAAAAGACAATGAATAAAACAGCAGATAAGTAGAGGAGTAGAGGAAAAAGAAACTCCTCCTAAAACCACATATCTGTCTGTACCTGCTTCACAAACACTCTCCCCTGCCCCCAGTCTCTACGCGCAGCTTTAACCAGAGCTTTTTTCCAGGTCAGTATGTAAGACAGCAGCTTGTATTGAATCATTCTCAAATGTTCCATCAATGACTTTTGTATTACATGATGTAATTCCTTCTCTATTTTACAATGAAATAGTCCAAACTCTGGGTATTTCTTTAAAAAACTCTGAAATCTAAAGAATTCATATAAAGCCAAAGGTCTTCCCTCCCGTTCTCAATTGACCATCTATCAAGCGTACTCAGACGGAGGCCTCTTCATCACAGAGAGCTTACAAGGCGTGTGTGCAGGAGCTACTAAGCATCAGCACCTCACTATCGGATCGAGATCGGATGGACTCCGCTACCACCCGATAACAACACAGTTTGTGTCAGTGTGAGCCACTCACTGGTCACTGGTGCCAGAGAGGACGCTTCTGCCTGATCTCCTTCCACCTCCGTGGAGTCTCTACTTCAGTCTTGTTTCTCACAACAATTAGCTTTCTACTTGGTTCATCACTCTACTTCATTTTTTTATTTTTAAGGCAGACATTCTAATTATGATTCCATTACACAATTACTTCATAATGTGTTACGCAGTAGACGTACAGTGTATTCACAGTCCATCCTTACATACATACATCTACACTAACTAGTATTCACTGGACTCAAAATAATCAAAAATCAAATGAATTTTGTGAAGTCAGAAGCATAATATTCGTATGTAAAGTCATATGAAATATTTTTCTTTATATCTTTGGACGTTAAACTGTGTAGCCAAGCACAGAAACTCAGAGCTTAAAAGGACAGAGATGTCTCAATTGAAGCCAATTGAATATTTTGTTTATCTAATAGCAATTTATAATATTTCTAAACCATTATTTTTACTGATGGGATATTGGGAATTAATATTAATGCATTGTTTGATGGCACTCTGTCACACAGACATTTTTGGTCCTCTCAAGTAATCTAAAGGAATGCACAGGAGTTAAATAAAGCACAGCAACGGACAGTAACGTTTCATCTAAATTATTTTGATGAGTAAGAAGTTATGTGAAATGTGTGTCCCAAAAATGTAGTTAAATGCATGTTATTGCCTGCCTTGCTTTCGTTTAATAAAAACGATTTATGTGATTCATTATTTTACTTGAAATGTCTTGAAAATCTATCAAAAGATTTAGACATTTGTTAAATCGCATTTCATGCTTTCTCCGTACAAACTCACACATTAAAACATGTACCTACTTTGAGTGTATTTTGTCATGAAACTAAAGAAATACTTAAAGTCAATACATTAATAATAACGACTCGCTCACCTGCGCGTGTTGGTCTGCTGAGGTTGTGAGATGTTGGAGAGGAATGAGTGTCGGGTGTCTCGGTCTTGTAAATCAAGTAGTGGCAACCTCTGGACTTTAGGAGTTTAATCTTTATGGCCGAGGCCCGAGTGGAGACAGGAACAAAGATAGACGGAGATATGAGGAGGTGTTGTAAGAGCTAGAGATATCCAACAGCTTATCCTCACTGAACTCTTCTAACACGCGTCCATACCCTACTGCAGGTGTGGCCCTCAACACTTTTTTTGGTGTATGGAAGCTCTTTTCCACATGCTGGCTGTAGTGCTGCTCGATAAATCCATGTAAATCATTTTGAGTCAAAGCCAAAGATCTCTGACCAACGTTAGACTTTATATAACATAACATAACAAATAACAGTAAAATAATAAGTTGTTATGCGGTTCAAGCCAGTGTTCATTTTTGGTCTTCCTGTTTTTGTTATTGCCAGGCCTTTTTCTTTCTTCCTCTCTAGCGTGTTAAGTCCGCTTGTGCCTGTGCTACCTTTTGGTTTGTTTTGTAAAGTTGACTTTTGCCAGTAAAGATCCCGAACCTGGAAAGAAGTATTTTGTTTTATTACTCTGCTCCTGAGTCTCAGTCCTGATCCCTTACAATGCGACAGAAAGAAATGGGTTTACTGTAGTTTTACAGTATACCAGAACGTTACTGTATAATTACAAAGGGTAACCACATCTGCTGCTTTTAAATTGTATTTATAAAGCACAACAATTCACATCCAATACAACATTGCTGTGGTGTATTACCAGTATCAATCATTTATTCAGCTGACTGACAGATCACGTGAACATTTGTATTAAAAAAATTGAGGTTTTGCATGCTTAAGAGAAGATTAAATTACTCCACACACCTTTTAATAATTTAATAATAACACATTTTAATTGAATTATAATTGAATAATGAACTGCATGAACTCCATGACAGTGTTATGGAGAAAAAGAGAGCTAACAGTGAGAGAGGAATTTATTTATTCTTAGAGACTTCATCATACTCCATTTTTTTCTTAGTCACAACCTGATTGTGAGTCACTGAACATAGTGAAACATATTTGAACCATTTCACAAAAATACTGCATTAGGCTATTAGATTTTGGTTATTTGCCACTGTGTTTATTTAAATAAACTTTTAATTTAAATGCGCAGGATGACTATTTAACTGTATGTTGTTATTTTGAAAGACTGTAAGAAACTCAACAGCAATTCACTACTGTGTAGCTTGTACAGCTGCGTAGAGATCCCGAAAAATACATTTGATATATTCCAAATACTTTCCATCCGACTCCATTTCAGGGAGGATGGTCACAGACTTTCACTCGGGGACTGCGGTTTGTTAACTGCATTAACCAAAGAAAACAGGAAATTGTTTCACCCCTGCTACCAAAGTCTAAACTGGTAATTCTATTGTTTTTCACATTGTCCCTTCTGTTCTTTGGAAAATTGCATATTACTCAATATGGTTCTGAAAAACAAGCAAAAGACACAACGTCAAAAGGAGCCTCTCTCTCTCTCTCTCTGCAGTGGCCATATAACTGATGCCACAACTATTATGCGGTCTGTGGGTTGCACACTCACCCATTTTTTTTCAGCTCCTCTGTGTCTGTTTCTCTCTTGGTTTGTCAGGACACTGGGAGTTGTGGTCAGAGGGAGTTGTTGGAGGAAGAGGCAGAGCAACAAACACCACATCCAGATGAGGGTGATGTCAAATATGCCTCATTATCAACATAAACCCTCCTTCGTGTTAGTGTGTGTGTGGTTTTTGTCTTGTCGTACACACACGCTATTTACCACATAGTCACATCATGTCTGACAATTGATCTCATGATCTGATTTAAAGATAATAGCTGGTGAAATTATTTTATGTTTTCTCCATGACAAAAATAAATAAATAAAATGAGGGGCTGTTTTGGTACAAAATGACACATATCTAAACTGCATTCTCAATCACGTATCAAAAGAGTATGAAACATCAAGCAGTATTTGATTCCTCTCGCCAACAGTTATAAACAAGTCTGGATACCGCTTATGGGTTGGCTTTTATGTTCTACAACTGTAGCACGATGGAATTAGTCTTCTAGTTCTAGTTCTAGTTTTCTGGATGTTGTAAAGTGTCTTAATATAAATTCTAAAGAAAATGGAGCAAAGGCTGAATGTGAAACATTCTCCGCCAGCTGTTTTGTTATTACTATCAATGTTGTCTAATATGACCTGTTAAGATGACATTTTCCCCATGCACGACCAAAGATGTAGGTAGCTCTTGAGAGATCGAGACGGTTGTTGAAGATGGAGAGAGCTTTTTGCACAAGTAAAACAAACTGAGAACTTGAGGAATTCCTCAACGTATCAAACAAAAGGGGGATGAGAAGCAAACCACTTAAGGCACTTATAGTGCATTTCAAAATGTAAGATTTTTAAAAATTCATCGACTGCCCTAATATCAATACTATTATGATGTTAATTATGGTGATTGGTGGTACATTTGACAGGACTTTGGAAACCTAGCATTGCCAGTTAAAAAACATGGGAAAACTATGATATCTTGTTACTGTGGGATACGGGCGAGCTTCCAATGCTCAGTCAAACAGTAAGGAATTGGAAAAACATATGAACAGAGACCTGGGGGTGTCATTTATTACTCCTGTGTCCACAAAACCAGGACTGAAAGGTTGACGGCACCTCCCATTCAAAGACGTCATCTACAAAAAAAGTACAGACAGAGCTTTGTGGTGCTGCTACAGCGACATAATGAAGGAAATGGGTCGAGGCGAGAATGAACTTGAAAGTTGCACAGGCAGCAGAAGGAACGACAATTGTAAAGGAAAAACTGATGGGGAACACCACAATCATCTGGAAAACATTGCCAGAATGAACTGTATCAGAGGGCCAAAAGAAATCCAGATGAAAAATGCAGAGGCTGAGAGGTTGGTAACAAGAGGAAAATAAATTTAAGGTTACATAGGCAATATATATATATATATATATATATATATATATATATATATATATATATATGGGGAGAGGATGGCGAGGAGACGCGTTAGCCATTAGCGTTGTCTTTTTCGCTTTCTAAGTATGTATGTGCAAGATTACAGGTTTGGGTCATTAAAATAAAAAATGTAAAGGTTTCAGTGAACCATTGTGACTGACTCAATCTAGTTTCTAGTCCATTGTGATCAAAACATTTGTATTTTCTGAGAACACATTCAGGTTAAGTGGGTTCCCAAAGCGAACCAGTGTAGTATTGATCAACTCTAAGATGCAGTCCGATGAAAAGCTGTGGATCGTCCGTGTCTTCTGGCTGTAACTGTATGAGAGGCAGACAGAAATATGAGACATTTTATTGTTCCTCCCGGTAGTCTTTAATCACTTTTGCAGTTTGAAGTTACACTCCTAACAAGGCAATTCTAAAAAGAGCATACACACTGAAACCAAATCCAAACACACACAAGCATAAACGCTTTCTCAGTCTGGTCTCACAGAATTACAATAACAGGCCAAGACGTTTACAGCACATTATGTAGTATTGGCATGTAATCTGTTGCAATCTGTTAGCAGCACTTTTCAAAATAGATCAAAACACATAATTCGCTAAAGTTCTGAATTATTTGACCTAATAATTTCTCTTCAAACAAATCCCCCTTTTTAGGTAGTTAGCATTCAGCTATTGTATAATATATAGGGCTGTTAATAGATCAAATTGACAGCCCCAGATAATTAATAAATTAAAATTAACTAATTCATCGCACATTTTGAAATTGATTAATCATGATTAAAAGTTAGTTTGTCTTTGAAAGACTAAATCTTATTAATTAACAAGTAATCACTTCAGGCAGCGTGTAATTTAGACAACTTATTTTTTTAAACACAAAACTACACACAAGGCTGTGTTTTCAAAGAGGCTGAGCTCTATAATTCCTACCTAATAAAGTGCCAGCCAGGTATTTAAATATGTATCAAATATCCAAATTAGTATAAATAAAAGTGTATTTTAAATTGGTACATTGGTCCTGTCATTGCTAACATTGAACAACACACACAACAGCATAACAAGTGACCTTGATAAACTGAACTGACATTTAAATCTGTCATGTTAAAGTGCAAATACTTAAAGTGCAAACAAACTTGAAAATGAAAACAGAAAGATCTTTGCTACTTCAACGAAATTGTGACTAATCATCTTTAACTTTCAGCCAATTGCTGAGATAGACAAGCATGTTCACATTTTCTGGAGCCAATGACTTGAGAGTGAGAACAGCTGCTCAGGTCACCACAGGTCACTGTGGTAGCTGGGGTTGACAGGTGCTTCTTTTGCTATTCCTACAAGCATGTCGTGTGTGTTCCCTTCCTAGTGGACAGTCCCCCATCTGCAATTTTGGCTCCACTCTGTTGTCTTCTCTTCTTCCCCTGAATCTTAATCAAAAAAAACAAAAATGCACATTAGAGGACGGAAAAAGTGGACTTGCCTGCATGGTTCAAGTAGCTGCTCCAACTTCTCTAGTTTAGCCAGTTCTGGTGCAGTCAACATTGAAACGTTGGTGTTTGTCACGGTGTGGTTTCACTTCCTGTTGTATTTTGTAGTTTTCTGCCACTCGTGTCCCCGGGTAACTTCACTTCCTGCCTTGTCATGTCATCCCCTGTGATCGTCTAATAGTTTCCACCTGTGTCCAATCACCTGCACCTCCCTAGTGTATTTAAGCCGTGTGTCTCCTGTGTCACTTGTCGCGTCATTGTCTTTTGCCACGCATGTCCTGTTCTTGTCTTTCGCCGCCGTAGGTTCATGCCTGTGTGTTTTTGCCCCTTGGCCTTTTGGATTTTGGACCTTTTGATTATTAAAGTCTTTTGTTTTGGAAAAGTCTGCGTTTGAGTCCTGCCTTCCACCCCCCACCCTGACAGTGTTGTGCTGAGTCAGGGTGGCAGCAAGCGGACACTTGTTTATTATAAAACAAGACAATTATAAGACAATTATAAAATGAATCCCGTTTTTTTAGGTAGGTACGTCCACCTGCCATTGCAGGTCTTCTGCGCTGGTTTGAGGGTAAAGGAGTTTTTTTCTTCCAATCGGCATACCCAAGCACCATTTTACGTGCTCTATTTGCGCTTTTGAACCAAGGAAGCTGTCTCTCTTTTTTACGTGGGGGTCTTCGGAACCATTGGGATCAGATGATCACAACGAGTGG